TAATATAAATTTCCAAAAGAATTCAATTATTTAAACCAAATTTTAATAACAGTTTCTTAGGAATTCAATTACGTACCGTACCAATTTTTTTTTATAAATTTCTTCGAACCAATTCAATTATTTTTAATTTTCTAATGAAGTTTCTCGAAAGAATTCAGAGAATTGAAAAAAAATAGTTCTAAGAAATTCAATTATTTCGAAAAATTTAAATAAAATTCTTTTAAAAATTCTATTATATAAAAAAATGTTGACAAAATTCTGAACAAGATTTAGTTAATAAAAGTGCAATTTTAATCAAATTTTCCTATGTAATTCAATTATTTTTAATATACAATTCTTCTTAAGAATTTAATTATTTAAAAAAGTTGGAATAAAGTTCTTCGCAAGAAATTAATTATTTTTATAAATAATGTAATTTTTCTCGAATTCAATTATTTCAAATATCCTAGGATTACAATTATTGTCAAAAAAGTTTTTGTAAAAATCTTCGTAACGATTCAATTATTCTCGTAAAAAATAAAATTCTTCGAAGCAAATCAATTATTTAAGAAATTTTAATAAAATTCTTCCCAAGAATTCAATTCTTTTCAAAAAGTTTTAAAAAATTCTGAGAAATTCAATTATTTTTAAAAATTTAAATAAAATTCTTCACAAGAAATTAATTATTTTTTTAAATAATATTTTTCTTCAGAATTCAATTATTTTCACAAATTAATTTTTTCATAGGAAATCAATTTTATAAGAAAATTTTTAATAAAATTTGTTGTAAGAATTTAATTATTTTCTCATCTTAAATTTATTATTATCTAATTTTTTAATTTCATTTTGTAAGCGAGTTTTCCTATCATCTAGACGGACAACTGTAGAAATACATAAAATTTTGATTGTTTTATCAAGAAAACAAATTCAGTAAAAATAAATCTTCAATCGATTTCCCTCCCCTTGTAACTAAATTCTATTAATTAAGACTAAAAAAAGTAATGCAGAAAAAGCAGAGAATACTTTAAATATAAATAAATTCCAAATGCAAAAAGAGTGTATTCTTATTTTAAACCAATCTATTTCAATTTAAAAAATAAATCGTGTTTAAAATAATCTTTAAAAATTAATGCCAAGTTATATATTCACAACTCCAAACTATTCTTATCTGTTGCATAATTTGATTATCACACAAAATTCATTAATATATATCCAGTCAAAGGTAAAATTTCAGAGTTCAAATGGAAATTTAAATGTGATAATATATTGATTTCAATCACGTATATATTTTAAGATGAAAATTGAAGATGAGAGTTTGGAATATAAAAGAGATGAAGTTTTAAGAGACATAAGCAGCAGGGACTATTTAATTTTACAAACTTAGCACTCAACGCGCAAAGTGCTCAACTTGAACGACAACTAGACATCAGAAGCGATGTAAATTTTCCCTTAAATTCTACTCTCGTCAAGAGTAGAGAAGGACGACGCGCTTATAGAGTTTAGCAACTTTCAATGAAACTCATACATTTATTACACTCAAATTTTCAATGAGAATCAGAAGAGGAAACTTTCGGAGTGTATTTTTCACAATTCTATTTTAAATGACAAAAAATCGATCAAAAGATCAAAAATCTTTCTTCAAAAAGTTAACCTCTGATTCTATAAACCCTACTAAATATTCTCAATCAAAAAATATCAACTCTATCAAATTTTTTTCAAAAAACATAGAAATAAAAATATTACCTCAATATCCTAGAAAACAATTCAGAAAATAAAATTGTCCTCAATTTCTATCAAGAGAATGTAATAATAATTTTTTTATCCCACATGCACAAAAACGGCGCTTTCTGATAGCAGCCGACAGGGAGGAAAGTCATTCATTTCTTCGACCGTATGAAAATGGCGGCCGTGTTCTCCCAAGGGCAAGAAAATTAGCTGTTCACATGCATTTTTCTTGCCCAAGGGAGAAATCGGCCGCCATTTTCATACAAATCGAACAAGTGAATGACTTTTACTCCCTGTCGTCTGCTATCTGAAATCGCCGCTTTTGTGCATTAGGAATAAAAAATATCGTAAGTAACACGAGAATAAAGGCAGCCAATTTCTTTACAATGATTTTTGTGACACTCGTTCCGGTCTCGGGGCGCCTACGGCGCCCTCGACCTCCACTCGTGTCACAAAAATCACCGTAAAGAAATGGCTGCCTTTCTCCTCTTGTTGCTTAATATACTATTAGATATTACTTCTTGTTTGTGTGTCAAATGAAAAAACTGTAATTGGAAATATTTTATAACATAGAGAAGCACTTCAATTTTTTTATCAATCATGTGGAAAAATTCGTATTGTGAACAGTAGCAGAATGAAAAAAAAAAATGGAAATAGAATTATGTCAGCTTTACACTGGGGAACATATCACAGCGGATTACAAACTCAAATTGAAACCTTTTTAATAAAGAAAATCGAATTCACAAAAGCAGAAAATATTTCACTGCAATGTTCACATTGAAGGACATATGTATACGTACATATATTGATGTGCAATTCCACTTATTAATCCCCCATATTCAGTTATTACTTCAATTTAAATAAATACTAAAAAAAAGAGAGAAAATTTTACAAATTATTTACATATTTACAAAAAAAAAAATTTCGCACTAGATAATCCAAATATTTACTCGTAAATTTAATTAAATATTGTAGGTACAATATAAAAAAAATATAATAATTTCAGAGGCAAGTTTAATTAATCCATTTTTTATTGATTTTGCGAAGAAGAAAAATATTTAAATATTCATCAACTATTCGTGGATAACTTTAGGTTTTTATGCGATTTATTTCATTATTGTTATTTTTGTTCAGTGTTATTTATTGATATTGTTGTTCCAATTGTTTATTGTTATTGTTTTTAAATTTAATTGTTCTTTTATATGTTTTTTACTTCATTAATTTTTTACTTAGTCATTATTTTATTTTCTGTTTATTTATATTATTTTCTATTAATTCTATTTATTATTTTCTTTAATAATTATTAATTTTTTAATTTTATTTATTATCCCAACTATTGTATTTGCAAAAAAAAAATATTGAATCACAATATATAATTTTTTCTTGCCTGGAAGCAAAAGAAAATTTTCCTCTAATTTATTTTCCCTGAACTCTAAAAGTAATATATTTTTTCCTTTTCTCTTTTTTTGAAAAATGAAAACAGTTTAAAAACATGACGGTTTGAGAGACAAGACGTGACAAGAAAAGTGACTAGAGATTAAAAGTTTATGGAGACTGGAGTGCAATTACTCCGATTGGGAAAAGTAATGAAGGGCTAGTATCGTGGGACTCCATTTTTCTTTTGATCAGACTTTTTCTAGCAACACTCAGTTTACAGAGGTAAGAACGAACTGAGGTCGATTTATTAAGATCCGGAATAGGGGAAGATTCCTCCTACGAAGGAAAAAGCTTCAAGAAAAAGCAAAAAGAGACAGAGAAGGAGAGAGAGAGAGAGAGAGAGAGAGAGAGAGAGAGAGAGAGAGAGAGAAGAAGTCGGAGGGAGGTTCACTCGAGATTTTCGCTTGACCGCTGCAAAGAACGACGACTCTCACGAAAAACGAGTTTCACTAAAAGATAACGTTTCTTTCATTGGTTTATGTCGTTAAATCAAGTTTCAATCCTTTGGTGAAAATAAAATAAAAAAAAATAATTTTTTTGCCCAGTTTAAATTAAATTGCAAGAGGTTCAAATAAAATATTATCTCTTACTTTCATTCCGTCTTTAAATTAATTTAGAAAAAAAATATTTTCTCTCTCTTGTAAAGAGAAAACATTCGAGTTGTAATTTAATACAATTTTTCCACTGGAACAAAAAGCAATTAATTGAATTTCAAATTTTGCCATTTTTGCTACAAAACCAAAAAAAATTATTACTTACAAAGGTAATTAAATTAAAACAATTTAATTTACTTTCTCGAAAATTTACATCGTCTTCTAATTTTTATACTTTACGAGAAAATTTACATCAATCTGTAATGTTTCCTTTTTTTAGATACAAAATAACAAAATGAATTTCCAAAAATTCGAAAATAAAAATTATAATAAATAATATTCATAATCTTTACTTTTCTCAAAAATTTACATTTTATAATTTTTCTTTTTTTCCAGACACAAAATGACAAAAACCTAATTTGAAAACTGTAATAAAAAAAAGAATATTCCAAATTGAAATATTTACAGACTTGTTTACCATAAATGGAGAGAAACATGAAAAAAAATGATTCCAGTGTGCACATAAAATAAAAATAGAAAATATAAATCAATAAAACACGTCTCTCGTCATTGGTCAATAAAATTGCAATCTCTCCACTTTCGCAATATTTGAAATTCAACAATTTAGAATAGAAAAAAAATTACATTCTTTTTTTCTATTTTTAACATTTTAATTATTAACGAAATGTCAATATAACCGATACAAAAAAAAACTTTTCTCAAAAGTTATAATAAAAAAAAAAAAATAAATTTCAATAAAGTACTTTTATCATTTAGAAAAAAATAGAAATAAAAAAAAACTTCTTGAATACATCCAGTAAAAATAAATAAAAACTGGAAATAACAAATGTCAAAAATATATGAAAAACCATAAAGATCTATGTAGGATGTCTAAAATATATCTATTCCTTATATATGTGACATGAAAATCATAAAAATATTTTATGTTTTATTACGAGGAGAATATAGTTTTTCGATATATATATAGAACTGTGGAGCTCTATTTTCTATAAGTTTTCTACTTTATTCCCGTACAATTTCAAAAAAAACACGATGGGTTACTCGAGATAAGAATGAGACAAGATAAAGATCACCTTCTTATAAATGAAAATGTTAAATCTTCATTTTTCTTTTTTTCCAAATTTAAAATTTTCTGTATACTTTTTTTCTACATTAAAAAAAAATGTATAGAATAATAATGGAAATGTATAAATGTATGCAAAACTTACAAATAATGATGCGATCGTCTTGATTATGATAACTTACCCAATTTTTGGCCTGAAATGAAGAGAAAAATTCGAAAATTAAAAAAACAATGTCATTCAGTGTACTATTGATAATATGAAAATGATTTTCAGTTGTTTGCAAGAATTAAATATTTTTTTTTTATTATTATTTAATAATTATTAATATGTAAATAAATCTATCCCTAATTTTTAAAATAATTTAATACTTAATAATTATTTTATTTATTTAAACAATATACGGACTTGAAAATAATAAAAATTTCTCTTTTTTATATAAAGAGAAATTTTAATAATAATTTAATAAAAAATACTTTAATAATATAATAATAATAATTATTATTATTATAATTATTATTATCATCTTAATTATAATTAATAATTTAATACCTACCTGTTTATTTATTTATTTAGTTTTTTAATTCGGTAATTATTACATAATTATTCTTTTATTTTTGAAATTAAGTAATTATTAGTTATTTAATTAATTATTAATTAGAATAATTAATAATTAGTAACACGTATAAATTGTTTAATTCTTGTCAATTATTCATTAATTTTTTACAAAATATAATTTTTTATACTAATACTGATAAAAAATGTTGTTGATGAATGATGCGCATGAGAATTAAATGCAGAGTGTAAATGATAAGAAAAACCTTTAACAAACAATTATTAATTAATGAATAAATCATTTCTCTAATAAAATTGCGTTTCTGAAAATTAAATTCTAATAAAAAACAACTTTCTCAAATATAACTATACTTTTTAGTAACTTTTAGTAAAATTCATTTCAAAAATACGAATAACTTGCTAAAAGTTAAAATTTTTCTTTTTTTTTTATTGCGATAAGAAGTTACTTTTCATTTTTTTCCCTTGCATATAATGTAACTTTACAAAATCATATAAATTAAATTTAAAATGAACTCCAAACTAAATTTTACCGTGATAATAAAATTTTTTTTCACTAACTTTAATGAAAGATACAATTAAGAAATATACAAAGCAATTAAAATATTTACTTTATAAGAAGTGTACGGGAGCTAAAGTTGAAATTCAAGAAATTTGCGAAAGTTAAACAATTTCCTCAGTATTTAAACTTTTCTTCAAGCGACTATAAAATAAATAAGCTGATGAATTTCTGCTCGAGTGCTGATTAAGAAATGAAAGGAAGAAATAGAATAAAAAACGAAAATTAATTGAAAAGGGGGAGGGGGTGGGGTATTTAAAGTCAATAAACAAAAACAAATAAATAAAAAATTAATCAATTAAAGGAAAATTTAAAAAGCAAATGGCAATGAAAAAAAGTAAATAAATAGAGAAAAGGGAAAAGTATAAGAAAAACAAAAATAAAAGGAATCAAAAAGTAAAGAAAATAAAGAAAAATTTAAGAAATAAATAACTAAAAAAATTGTAAACAAAATGAATAAATATTTCAAGAGGCAAATAAAAATTATCAAAAATAAGAAAAAAGAAAAAGAAAACAAGTTCTTTTAGAGAGATCAAAATGTAGAAAATGATTATTGTCCGCTTGGCCACCTACATAACCGATAGAGAGGAGGGTCAATAATAAAAGCCCCTTTAATTCGTGTTGTCGCGAGATAGAATCTCGACGAATTTTCAGTCTACGTGGCGCGAACTAATGGCACCCCCGCGGTCCAGTTGAGACTAAATCTTGATAAACAGCCGCAAAGATTGTTAACGCTCGCTCCATTATTTCGCGAAGAGAGCGGCCCACAGCTCTACTGGGAATGTTGAGAAGACAACCAAGAGACAAAATTTGGACCAACGCCAGACTCCTGTTTTGTTTCGAGGCCATGGACAATTTCTCCAAAACAGTAGTTAGATATGAATCTTTGTCTCTATAGTATATAACAATCACTATTTTAATATCTCTGTATACGATACATTACGGAATTATTCAAATTACGGTTCTAATTAATCATACAAATTAATTAATTCCAAAAGAAGAGAAAAAGGAAATTAGAAATTTTATTCTCTATTATAATACCGGTATTTTTTTTTAAATTGTCAATCAATATTAAAATCTATTTTATCATTAATAATGATCTTTATATTGTTAACAATAATTTCTTGTTACTATAATTTATTATTATTACAAAAAATAACAACCTGGACAACTGCATCTCGTTTGTGAGAGAGTTTGGATGCCATCTAGACAGAAAACTACAGTTATAATGGCGCGAAATTCAAATTTAAAAATCTAAAAAAAAAGGATCTTAAAAAACAAACTTGGTAAAAATAAATCTTGAACTACTAGCCCAGTCGAATTATACTGTAATATAAAACCAATTTGTCAAAGTACAATAAAAAAATTTACATATTCTCATATGAATTTTAAATTCAGAATTCTAAATTTTTCAGCACATCATTAATCAACCATGGCTTAATTTCAATATCGATAGTTTACTCCTTAGCAATCAAACTTTATTCTTCGAAATAGTAATTTTCAAGTAAAATTTTTTACTTTTAATTTTTTTCTATTTCATTGAAAGAGAAATTTAGAGTTTCATTCTAAAGAGATCAAATTTTTATTATTTTTCATAATTCAAGAAAACTGGAGATGAAGAGAAAAAGAATAGAAATGTACATAATAAAGGAAACGAATATCACTCACCGAGAAGAACGTCTTCGTCAATGTCGTGAATATCCAATTCTAAATCGAGATCAACGGAGCCATTTGGAAGATGATTTTGCGTGGCGAGGTCCATTTGATTGTTTTCTTTGAAGAGGAGAATGTCCTCCTCCTCTAATGAATTTGCAATAATCAATTCGGCCAATAATGTTAAATAGGGAGAGGTGAGTGATCCTGGACTGGTGGCTCGCAAAAAACCCGGCAGCCAAGGTCCAAGGAAACTGCAGGGCACTAAAGTTACTGCACCTGCACTCACGAGGCCGCCGTTTAAAAGTTCTCCGCACAACATAGGTATCAGAGACGATGTCTGATCTTCCTTCGTTATCTCGGCACTCTAAAAACATTCACCACCTGAAAAAGAAAAAAAAAACATCTATTATTACAGAATCATTCAAAACAAATATATTTTATTTTTCCATTTCTTTAAATTTCTATTTTATTTTATTTTAATTTTTCTATTTTTTTAATACAAATTTTCTACTATGTAAAGAAGGGCAGTTTCTTATTAGAAATTTTTGTAGAGCACTTAATTTATTATTTATTATATTTGACACTCTTGGGAATCGAACTCACGACCTAAGACACTCTAGACCTGTAAATTAGCCACCATACTACTTCACATTACAATTAATTTACTAAATTCCTTGTCTTTAGAAAAATTAAAATTTTTTCACTGAGAAGCAGAAGATAAAGTTCGCTCAAAAAATAATTTTTCATCTTCTGCTGATTATCGGCTGAGGTTACTTTTTATGAATTGTGAATTAAATTAATTTTGATGACCCAGATATTAATTGGAACTATTCTAGCAATAGTTTCGGACCAGTAAACAATTTTTGACTAACAATTAGTCAATTCATTAGTTTTAAATAGTAAACAAAAAATAAAGTTTGCTCAAAAAATAATTTTTCATCATGCATTACATCATCATTTTACATTTTTTTTCCACACAATGACACAAAACATATTGACGAGCACTGACAAGGTGAAACCACCAAAGGCCCAACAATCACTCCAGTCTCACCTTTGGCGATTTGCACAAAGGATAATGAAACAAAGAGGCGAATAAAATAATTCCCTCCTGATCGATAAGGCAATCAAATCTACATTAATCAAAACACCATAATAATGTTAAATTCTACATTCGAAATTACTCCCAAATTTACGATTGTAATGTTCATTTGTATATCATTTTCATATTGGTTTTGATCAACGAAATTTCTCTATTCAAAGGCAGATAATTTCCTATTCACGATATCATGCGCGATTTAACGCAGAGGGAGGGAGAGAGAGAGAGAGAGTGAGTGAGAGCTCATGGGAAATATCCATTAATGTCAATACACACTCGCATTTAAGGTAGGAATTTAGTTCGAGAGACCCAAATCTGAAATGAAGATATCCCAATGGGGTCACAGTTGGAAGATTATGTGAATTCAATGGTGTTCGGTAGATGTTCGGGTAATTTCGATGAAAACGACTCTCACACGTGTTATTCCTATACATATATATATATACACTTATATTCCAAGTGTGTGAACAACGTGAGACGATTTTTAAACAGATATATATGAATTCCAATATTGAATATAGATGACTGTTATAGTAGAAAACGAACAAAAAAAAAACATCGAAAAAAGAAGAAAAAAAAACTCTGATGAGGAAATGTGTCGAGACTGACAAGAAGGAAATTGAAATGATAATCTCTATTCTACGAGTAATATCTCCGATATTTCCCAGTGGAAGTTATTTTAATTCATTGTTGGAAGCAGGGAAATAAAAATTTTTTTTTCTCTCACGATTCCGCGAGCGGGAAAAATACGGAGACCAAAGGATTATAACACAATGATTAGTAGATCTGCCACTTTTCTGCACGAAATTACACTCCGATTTTTTACCTCTCTGCTATTTTTTTCCCATTTTACACTACAATAACTAACTTTCTAATGGACTCAGTGGAAAAACAAAAATGTCTAATTATATTACTTTATTTTTATTATTACACTACAACGGTGTTTACATCTATACCGAACTTAAACTTTTGAAGCGCCAACCTTCATATTGTATCTGTTTTTATATGTTACAAATGTAACTCTTAGAATTAGGGAGTACGTAATGTACGAAAGGGCATGTCCCGTTATGTTATTAAATACATAAAAAATATATGTAAAATTTAATACTTGTTTACAACAAAAAAATGGAAGTGATTTCAAAATCGATAATTGATTATTTGTTCTTTTATACAGGGCGCGAATCAGTGAAAGTATTTAAAAATACGGACTTTACGGACCAAAACTGAAAAATTACGGACCAATTTCTGACAAAAATTTAACCAGTCCGAGTCAAATAAAAGACCATTTTACTTAAAACTATAAATTAAATTTTATCATAACTATAAAACATAAAGATATCAAACACACCGAGTCAATAAAATTTTCTAACATAATATATATGTATATCAACTCTGTAAGTACTATAATGAAACGAAAAAAAGTTAAAGTTTAAAATTAGGAAAATGTAAATAAGAAAAGTATTTATTACAAAACTATTCTCCGAAAACCTGTGGAATAGTTAGGAAAACTCATTTCTCTCGAATGTGGAACACATTTAAATGCATCATTCCAAGTCTACGAGGGCAAAAATTACCATAACAATAGCTGTCATTACAAACGAAATGTTTTGCAATTTTTACCAGAGAATATTCTCGATGTGAAACTTTCCTCCCTAGATTCACTTTTATGGACAAGTTTATAGACAAAAATTCAAGACAACTTCCTTTGGTTTTATTTATCTGAATATAGAACAAACATGACTTTTGTATGCACAATGCATTTTTGTACTCCCTTAAAAGTTCACTGACCTTTTCCGCATTCCCCCCTTTTTTGGTTCTTTCTTTTTTTGTTTTTTTCTTTTACTTACAAGGAGAAACTTTTTCTTGTAACTATCTAGATTTTCTCTCTAAATTTTCAAAAGATTTAATTTTTCTTATGTCAAATCAAATCGAACTTTTAAAAATCAATTTATTTACTGGGAAAATTAATTCCAAGACTAAAAAATTGAATATGGTAAAAATTTCGCAAATTAAAAATTGAAATTAATTTTTATTATTTGTTAAACCCTCTAAATGTCTGGTAATAAATAATTATCGAATTACGAATATTGACGAACATTTTGAGATTAAATAATTATGGAGATGCTACTCTCTACCTGCGAACGCCAAGGTCACCGGTAGTTGGCAGTTCAGTTGACAAAACCAGATTGCCATCTAGTGGTGACCTTAGCGTTCTCAGGTGGAGAAATTAAAAGTACCATTTTATCCTTCAGAAACTTTTTTACAATTAATAAAAAGCAAAAAATGTCATTGTGAGTATAATTTAATTTATGTTTTAGTGCACATTTATAACGTTTTTTATTCAAACACAAAACTTACTGATTATTTGTAAATAAATAATGTGCCACTATTTGTAACTATTATGAATATTTTTTGACACTTTTGATACTATTTTTTATTTCTAAATTCACTCCGAGGCCTGCTAAATTTATTTCATTTATTTTTATTTCTAAATTTATTACTCTCTTTCTTTTTCTATAAAATGTTTATTAGACAATTGTTGTACTAAACTAAGCTCTCAAGTACCAACATTTTTTCGGTTTTTTTCAAAAAATTTTTTTTATACTAAATACGTGAATGTAAATTTTTGCAAACTACGTCACTCTTCCGAAACAACATATCGAAATTTAAGACCGTTTATTAAAATAGTCCGCCATGAAAAGTTTCTCCTTGTTTTAATTTATTTTTCCTTCGATTTCCATTATTAAAAATAAGAAAACGCGTGGATTAGTACAGTGACGGCGCGTATATATAAGGAAAATGTTGCTACACTGCAACACAAGTACTGAATATACCTCGGTTCCTTGGAAACCGTGGAGTCCCGGCCTTGATGCAAGGTTCCTCGACCGTATAGCAGAAGAGAGAGAGAGAGAGAGAGCACTAGACGTGCGGGCGCCATCAAACTCCTCCCCATCACAACCCCGAATGCTTTGACCCAAGGAAACTCTCTCTTTCTCTCTCTCTCTCTCTCTCTCTCTCTCCTTACTCTCTTCACGTAAATACATTTCACACCGAGAAGGTACGAGAATTGGGGGTATGAGGGGGGTCAGAAAACGCCTTTGCAAAACTCCTCTAAGCAGCGTAAAGTGCATAATAAAATAAAAGAAAATTTCAAGTCCCGAAAGAGAGAGAGAGAGAGAGGGGGGGAGAGAGAAAAGATATATACGTTCCAGAGTGGGATTATACAGCTTCTCTCATTTTACAACTTTTAAAAACAGAAATAAGCGTCTCTCCCCTTCTTTCAAGTTTTTCTTTTCAGTAAAACTCTCGAGAACAGCTGACAGGTTCATCAGAGACGGATTTTTACATTTTTACGCCCTCTTGCACAACGTGAAAAGAAACTGTCCATCAGTGCGAAAATTTATAAAGTTTTCCCAAATACGAACAGGGTTGCCACAAAAATTTAATTTGTTTTTTTGTCATTTTTTACCATTAATTTATTTACTGATTTTTTAATCCGTTACTATAATTGGATATTAGTTGTAAAAGTTTTAATCTTTTTTATTCTTCTTTATAATTTTTTATACTTAATTAATCTTTACTATTTTGTTTCTAATTAATAATTTTTTCACTGCTATCCTGAAAGTATCAAATTACGGACCAATTACTGACAAAAATATAACCAGTCCAAGAGTCAAATAAGAAAACATTCTACTAAAATATGTAAATTAAAATTTTTCATGTAACATGAAGATATCGATCACTCCGAGTCTTCGACTCGGAGTGATCGATTTCTTCTTGTTTTATAATAAATTTAAGATGAGAAAATAATTGAATTCTTGCAAGATATTTTATTAAAAATTTTTAATAGAATATTGAATTCCTATGAAAAATTTTATTATTTATGAAAATAATTGATTTCTTGTGTAGAATTTTATTTAAATTTTTAAAAATAATTAAATTTCTCGAAATTTTTTAAAACTTTTTGAAAATAATTAAATTTTATTAGAAAATTAAAAATAATTGAAATCTGGCGGAGAATTGAAAAAAAAAATTTTTTTAAATAATTGAATTGCTTTGAAAATGTTTATTTTTGAGAAGAATTTTATTCTTTTAAATAATTGAATTCTCGAGAAAAATTTTATTATTTATGAAAATAATTGATTTCTTGTGTAGAATTTTATTTAAATTTTTAAAAATAATTAAATTTCTCGAAATTTTTTAAAACTTTTTGAAAATAATTAAATTTTATTAGAAAATTAAAAATAATTGAAATCTGGCGGAGAATTGAAAAAAAAAATTTTTT